GAGGCTTGTAATAGGTGAATTCATGCTTTTTGACCATATTCTATCCTGTCTTTCTGGCAGCCAGCTATTGGCAGCCCCAGAGGCTGGGAAGGTTGGCATGCTGCAAGCCTAGCTCAGCAACCCTATAAAACCTTGTTAGCTCAAAATCAGATGTTCTTGTAGTCTTAGTACTGTGCTTTTTTTTTTTTTTTTTACTTAGTGATTTTGATATTCATCTGAGGAAAACAGGCAGTAGACATAGTTTTGCATCCAGACCATTTTGGATATCACAAGTTTCAAGTACTGGGGATTTTCTTGCCTGTTATGAATCCCCCAGCACCGTGCAGACCCCTGCAAGGGCTCCTCATCTTTGGGTCCTGGTGGGCTTCTCTGGTCCTCTCTAGCCCATCCCATGGCTCCCAGTTCAAGGCCTCCCTCCCCAACCCACCGGCAGGTGATTAGTGAACTCAGCTGCTCTGAATGAAACAGGCATCACGGCTACATGGCCCCAGGAGTGTTCAGGAGAAAAGCCATGTGTGGGTGCCGGTCCTGCAGGACCCCAACTGCCCTGCTGCCTCTCTTTTGGCCTAGGGTGTGTTGAGGCCCCCATACTGAAAGACCCAGATCAGATTGCTCACTCACGGTATGTCCAGGGAAGGGTTTGTGCCCAGGTTTCTAGCAGCTTGAGGGTCCTTGTCTCCTAGGAAGCCAACCAAAGAGTGAAATGAAGGTAGGTAGGGTGAGCTGTGACCAGATGGGAATGTCACTCCATCAGATGGGTGGTGGTCTTCCCTGGCTTGAAAGCTTGAAGCAGACCTCCCCTTGCCTGAGGTTTGCTGCTGCTGAGAATCTCCCCTAAAGGTGTGGATGTCATGGTCTGGCATCTCACGCTATCTGACATGCTGTGGCCCTCAGAAGCACCACCCTTCCTTAAGCAGAAAGAAGGGGCAGGCTGGCGAGCTGGCTCATGGTAGCTGCCATTACAGTTCCTCCAAGGCACCATAGAGGAAGTCAGAAATCATCAGTTTAACTCTTTTCGGGTGAGAAGCCAAAAGGAGTCCTTCCGATGCACGGAGGACTTAACAGTCACCACCCCACTATCACCAACATTTCCCAAAGGCACTTCCAGAATGCCCTCCCGTACATCTCTAGCCCACGTGCCAGCCACAGATAGGTCCGATTTGCTAGTCTAAATATTGTGAAAGGTCACATTTTGAAAATAACTTCAATTTGTTTATAGGTTGTCAGTACTCCTCATAAATATCCATCCGTCCACCCCGAGACCCGCCATTGGACGGCTCTGACTTTTGCTGTGTTGCATGGACATATTCCTGTAGTTCAGGTATTAATGGATTTCCCTATCCACGTCTGACCTTTAATTTTACCTCCTCCATTATGCAAATCTGTACTTCTCCCGGCATGCACATTCCCTAAGGGATTCATATTGGTTAACTGCAATGAAGTATAGCACATTCATATCATATAAACGCAAATATCATATGTAATGATCTATATGGCCTGGCTTTAACCAATATGAAATTATCACAGACCCACACGCAGCTTCACACACACAAGTGGCAAACGGACGAAGTTGTTCCTGGTTGCTCGGGGGTGGGGCCTGAGCTGTGATGTTGTGGATTTGTTCATTTTGCTTGTCGTAACATGAACATAAGACTTGGCTGGTGTGAGACCTTAGAACCTCCCCTTAGGTGTGACCCTGGTGTTTGTGTAGAGTCTAGTGGTTTGTAACTACTGGAAAGAAGCATCCCCAAGTCGCCAAAGGAGCGGTTCTAAAAGACACTTGCTGGGATCCTACTTATTGAGAATCTGGTCCCAGAGGTCTAGAGTAGGGCCTTTGCATGTGTCTTCTGAAACAGCTCCCCAGGTATGGAGAGGTGTCCTCTTCCGAGGTCCTTTGCTTGGACTTTTTCTGGTTGTTGTACAGTTGTTGTTCAAGAACGAGCCATCCAGTACATTCTAGATCTTAAACTCAGTCTTCAGTGCATCCAAAAAAAAAGAAATCAGCATCCGGGTCCATTACCCCACCTGGCCTCCTAGTGCGAAGCTTTGGGTACATCAGGAACACTTGCTTTTATGTGGTCCAAGCCTCTTAGACGTCTGCAGAGCGGGAAAGAGGGTTACAGGGACCACTGGGCAATGTTGGAGATCCACAGGAATCTTGGGTTGTTTCCTAGGTCATGGGACTCCTTCAGACAGATCCAAAGTCATGTTCCAGGGGGCAGAGTGTGTGACGTGTCACGCTGAGAGCTGACTTCTGCCTATAGAATGCTCTGTAGAATGTCATGCCCAGTTCACTCCTGGTAGAGGGATTATAGTAAAGAAGGGATCGGGGGGCAGCCTAGTGGATACAAATGCCATCCCTTAAAGTTCAGTGGCCTCCCCAAGCCTTTAAATCAGGAATAGGAGCGGCAGGCAGCCAAGCGAAGCCAAATGGGAGTCAGGCCACCTCTCCCCTGCAGGTATACAAAGCATGGAATGCCGTCAGCAGCCCTCTCCCAGCTATGCCCTCAGGGAGCCCTGGATAGGTAGTAAAGAAGGCAGATTTCTCCCCCACCCATGTTCCGTTAGCGGTGCTGAGAGCACAGTCACTGTGAGCGAGACCCAGCATGGACAGCCTCCATCTTTAAGAAGCCCAGATATCTTCGGGAATGCACACCTCAAAGCTCACTCTGCCACTTAATTGATTGATCTCACTGGCCAGGAAACTTGCTGAACTATCCTCAGAACTACCCAGAGTGTTCTAGAAGGGATTTGTGCCCTGGTTGGCCCAGGTGGTCCCCAGAGTCCTTCAGAACTCAAGATCCTGTGGTTCTAAGAGACCGCTCTAATGCTCTCTGAGGCTTTGTGTACCCAACCCCCAAAAGGGAGTCTTCCAGCACTCCGGTGCCACGAGCGTCATCTAAGCTACATGTCAATCACCTGGCGATCCTGCTGAAATGCAAACTCTCATTCAGTTGGTCCGAGGTGGTGCCTGAGAGCCAGCATTTCCAACAAGCTCCCAGGCGATGCCGATCCTGCTTTCCGCAGACCACGCTTGGATAGTCCGAGCTTCTAGGAGATTCAAGAGGCTGTCATTCACCCTCCGGCGAACACCTGCCCTCACCCTGTGCACATGGCCACTGACCCAGAGGGAGGGCAGGAACATTGGCATCACACTGACTTCTGCCAGCTTTTCCTCATGTGTCCTCACAGCGCATGTCCTTTAAATGTCTCCGTGGCCGCTCTTCCTCCACAGCTGCTCCTGGACGCCGGGGCCAAGGTGGAAGGCTCCGTGGAGCATGGTGAGGAGAACTACTCGGAAACACCCCTCCAGCTGGCCGCCGCCGTAGGTAAGAGCCGCCGAGCCTCGTCCCCATCGAGGGTCTCCACCACCTTGGCCCTCAATGTGTCTGTGACTCTATCTTTGCTTGATTCGCTGATAAAACCCCCTTCTCTGGGCTTGCAGGAAATTTTGAGCTGGTTAGTTTGCTGTTGGAGCGTGGCGCGGATCCCCTGATAGGAACCATGTACAGGAATGGAATTTCTACCACCCCCCAGGGTGATATGAACTCTTTCAGCCAGGCTGCAGCCCACGGACACAGGTAGGCTAGGATGGGCCAAAGCCACAAGGTCCCAAGCGGTGCTTGTTAAAAATGCAGATTCCCAGGCCTACCCCAGACCCACTACATCTCTGGATGTGGGGCCCAGAGGCAGGCCAGACCCCAGGCCTGGCCAGAGTGGCCTTAACTGCCAGCTTCCTGCTCAGAGCCAACCACGCAGCGCACATCCACTCAGACTGCCTTGTTTTGTCCTTTCCCGATCAGCTTTCACCTCACAGAGACTCCACTCTGCCTGTGTTGGTCAGAACCCATCACCTCAGCTGCCAGGAAGGGAGAAGAATCCATTTTAAAAATAAGAAAACCCCTCACGCTTGGTTACTACTTGTCTACATTTCCTTCGGGGTTTACCCCATCCTATTTTATTCCACATACCCCAAGTAAAGCAAATTCACTGTGGGACCCCATGCAGGCTGATGGTTAAAAGGGCACAGTTCTAGAACCTTCCGGATACTTGAGGAAAGCACTTAGCTCCAGACTGCCCTCAAGGAAACATAGCCAGTCATGCCCCACCGTCTCCTCCATCCTTAAAACATAAGCAGCCGTGGTCAGGCCTCTGAAACCACCGCCCCCCAGAGTCATTCCTGTCATTCCATTGTCTCACATGAGTGGTGTCCCCACGCCCCACACCCCGTCCCTGCCCCGGCAAAGCCCTTCCATCTCTGAGTGTCTTCCTCTCTGGGTTTATGATTGACAGGAATGTGTTCCGCAAACTGCTCGCTCAGCCAGAGAAGGAGAAGAGTGATATCCTGTCCCTGGAGGAGATTCTGGCTGAGGGGACTGACCTGGCGGAGACAGCCCCGCCTCCCCTGTGTGCCAGCCGCAACAGCAAGGCCAAACTGAGAGCCCTGAGGGAGGCCATGTATCACAGCGCTGAGCATGGCTACGTGGATGTCACAATTGATATCAGGAGCATAGGTCAGTCTGGGCACCCTCCACACTGGGCACAGCACTCCCGCCCAGCCCTAGGTCACTCACATGCACACGCGCACACACACCACGGGGCCAGGGAGCTTCTCATTTGCTGGTTGGAGCACTTCTAAGCTAAAACACCCACACGATCCCCAAAGGCCCATCCGTCCTCAGGTCATTTTCTCATGATTCCCAAACTCTGGACCCTGAGAATTTAGGCATTGGAATCACCTGGGAGCTTGTCCGAATACAGATTGCCAGGCCCTACACCCAGAGGCTCTGCTGTCGAGGGTCTGGATGGATAAAGGCCGGAAATCTTTATGTTTAACAATCATCCCAGGTGGTTCCCAGTGGTTGGTGAATCACTGCCGTAGAGCACCCAGATCCATGAAGCAGTGGCCAGACAACCAGCTAGGATGAGAGCATCACTTCCTCACCGGGCTCACCCACTGAGCTTCAGGGCGCAAAGCCACTCTCAGGAAAAGCTAGGTAGGGGTGGCTCTTCCTTGAGTGAGCTAGCTCGGATCCATCTCCTCCGTGTGTCCAGGGGGCAGGCCATCCCAGCCTTCCCAGTCTGGGGGCAGGGGCCCCGCACAGGAATAGTAGAACCTAGCGTGGGCCTTCTACTGACCTGGTGTGGCAAGTCGAGGTGAGCGGAGGGCCTGAGGAGAGGCCCCCCTGCCGCTGTTCTGGATGTGGGCCTCTCTCTCAGAGTGACTGTTTAGTATGTGGGACATTTATGCCATTGCCCCAAGAGCTTATTTAGCAGGATGATGAAGCTCCGGACTCTGAATGGCCTGCTCCTTATGAACAGTAGTGAGAAGCACTCTTCCTCTGTGCCTCTGAGCTGCTGGAGAGGTTTCTGTTACAGGAGGAAGGCCTGATGAAGCGCCCACAGATGGAAAAGTTGTTTTGCACAGGGGAGCAACAGGGGTATCCTCCCAGGTCTTTCTCTGACATCCCATGTCCATCCTGGATGGAGCGGTAGATGGTCAAGTCCACCCATAGGTTTCACCAGCTCTGAGCTCTCTCATCTGGGCATGATGTGCTGTCTCATCCCGGGCAAGACCCTTCCCCCCTGAGCTTCCATCCCCCCAGAAGGCAGCAGGGGTGGAGGTGAACGGAGTCAGGACGCAGAAGTATGGAGTAGGCATAAGCATCGTGTGACAATTCCATGTTCTACCTGACGGTTATATCTGGTAAAATGCAGCTCCTAGTAATGTGAACGGCGTGCACAGATGGACACCCATAGCTAAGGGAACTGAATTATGATCTTCAGTTTCAACATCTGCAAGTCTTCAGGGAAAAAAAGCAACACCGGCGCTATTCATCCCAAGTCAGGCTCTTGTCTTGGTCTCATCATTTGGTGCTGTCCTGGGGAAAGGCCAGCTTCCAGATAAAAACACGCCTTCTGTTGTGGTTGTTTTCTGTCTTGTCCTCTCCTCCCCTCCATGCCTTCCCCTCCCCCTCCCAGGGGTCCCGTGGACACTGCACACGTGGCTAGAGTCTTTGCGGATCGCCTTCCAGCAACACCGCAGGCCTCTCATCCAGTGCCTGTTGAAGGAGTTCAAGACCATTCAGGAGGAAGAGTACACAGAGGAGCTCATTACCCAAGGCCTGCCCCTGATGTTTGAGATCTTGAAAGCAAGCAAGGTAGGAGAAGTTTGACGCTGTTGGGGTCGGTCGGCGGCAGGGAACAGGAACGACCTCGCCAGCCCCTTAGCCTGGTCCCGCCCTTTGGGGAGGACCGCGTGCCCAGCTGGCTAAAGCTGCTTGTGTTGTCATTTGTGGGCCACTGTTTGTTTGTTTTTTTGAAGATTTTATTTATTTGACAGAGAAAGATAGCAAGAGCAGGAACACAAGCAGGGATGTGGGAGAGGGAAAAGCAGGCTCCCCGCCAAGCAGGGAGCCCGACGTGGGGATCGATCCCAGGACCCCGGGATCATGACCTGAGCCGAGGGCAGACGCTTAACGACTGAGCCACCCAGGCGCCCCTGTGCGCCACTGTTTTGCTGAGCACCTGCTATGTTCCAAAGCCCTTGGGCACATGGGACAAAGTAGAGAGATACCTTCTAATCCAGGGAATTGACACGAAAGCTGGGGCAATCATGCCAATGCATGTGCCCCAAGGCCATCTGAGGTTTATGAAACAGCGTTCAATTGGGTGGCATGGGCTCTGAGAGGTGTGAGTCGGTCAGGGAAGGTGTCATGGAGGTGCGGAGACATGAGCAGGCCTGGATGGACAGATAGGAATTCAGCAGGAAGAGGGAAATGGTACAGACCCTGCCGAGGATCCTGCAAAGCCAGGCCCTGGAGAAAGCTTTTCGGGTACAGAGGATCAGGTGAGGGTCACCCCTTCCTCACGGGCCTCCTAATTCCCGCAATAGGGAAATGCTGCAACCCCATTAAAACATCAGTCCAGCCCTTGGGCCATTATGAGATCAATTCTTAAAAATTTCTTTGGGGTCACTTGTTCGGCGCTACCATATAGATGTCTGGTCCCAGCCAGTGGGCCATGCGGCATTATTGTGTGTGTTGCTAGAGAACTTTGAGGATGGACAGTGGTGGTGTGCCCATCCCCCAGCCATCCACTGGGGTGGAGAGCCAAGGGCAGGGGGAGACAGTGACCAATGCCCCACCACCGTGGCCACCAAGCACCAGGGGTGGCAAGTCTGTCTGAGAGGCTGGGAGGAGTCTGTGCATCAAGTTCCACATATCCTGAGGGCTTCTCAGTGGGCCCCAAGGGCCTGTATGGCACAGTGGTTCAGAGCACAGACTCTGGAGCCAAACTGCGGGGATTCAAGCCTCGCTGTGCCACCTCCTAACCTTATGACCTCAGTCAAGTTACTTAACTTCCGTCTGCCTCAGTTTCCCTACCTGAAAATGGGGACAGTAATTATATTAAACCTCTTAAGGTGGTTGTGAAGATAACATGGGTCAGTGCCCTTCAAATTGTCCCTGTAAATTAGTGAGTGCTTTATAAGTGACTCCGTCATAAAGATGGCCTCATCAGAGGACGTGACGCTTCCACTATTTCCCAAAGGGTGTTCTGTAAAAACCATCCCATTGCAGGGCACGTACCAAGCAGCCACAAACACTGACCTGAGAACAGGCCGGATGTCAGCTCTTTCTGCAGGCTAACATTGGATTACTCCAGTTTCTCTCCTGCAGAGCCTCGAATACCCTAATTCACAAAGGCAATCAGGGGTTTCCCAAACTCATCTGACCTTGGAACCCTTTTATAATGAACTGTCTCAAGACACAAATGAGGATATTTTTAAGCTAAAATATATATTTTATATTTACTATATGCCGGGCACTCTTCTAAGTGTATTATAAGGATTAACTCAATCCTCACGAACAACGTTTGAAGGAGGTAATGTTCTTATCCACATTTAACAGATGGGTAAACCGAGGCACAGAGCAGGTGATCACTTGCCCAAGATCACACAGTTAGTAAGTGGCAGAGCTAGGCTGGAACCCAGGCAGCCTGGCTCTAGCACCAGCCTCTTACCCCTTTGCTCCAGAACAGACTTTCTAGAACTCTGGGGTTCCCTCTAAGACAGTGGAGCCTCTGAAGTCTCAGGGGGAAAGGGCCTCTGAACCAGAAGGGCAGCGTGGGTTCCCCTTGCCAGGCTGGGCCCACGGGCTGTCCAAAGAGTGAAGAGGGGAGCAGAGAGCTGCCCTCTCTGGATGTGGCAGTGTCGGTCCAACAACAAAGCAGCAACAACACGGCCCGTCCGCTGTCTGAGCCTCGGGGCACCTGGCCTGGGGTCCAGAACAACTCTCATGAGATATTCTCGTCAGCAGCCTAGCCTTAGCCCAGAGTCTCAGGGCCCCCTGCGGGCTGGATTTGCACCTGATGGAAGCCCCACCAGGACCCAAAATGGGAGCGGGGGTGCCAGCCCTTGTATAATAAGCCACAGCAATTCCACAGAGAGCAAAACCTGATGGAAGCATTTCAAAACCAAACTCTCCCTGCCCCTCACTCTTCACCCCTCCAACTCCGAATGAATGAATAGAATGAATGAATGAATGGAGTGGTGCTTTCACCTGCAATTACCTAAGAAACCACTTTAGTGAAAATCATTCCTAAATCTGTTCCCAGAGTTAGTGGTTCTAACTTGTTTTTGGTTTCTTGGTTTTTGTTTGTTCCTTTTTTAGGGTATAGTAGGAATTCCAGAAATTACTGAGGCATCCTGTGTATTAAGTAAGCCTAATCCATAGGTTTTTAAAGTAAACTTTATTTTGGAGTTTTGGAGTATGACATACATACAGAAAAGTGCCCAGATCATAACTATAGAGTTTTCACAAGGTAAATATACCTGTGTGATCAGCACCTAGGCCAAGAAAGAGAACATTACTAGCACCCCAGCAGGCCCCTTATGCCCCACTCAGCTACTACCCCTTAAAGGGCAGCCAATGGCTGGGGGGGTTGGGAAGAAGGGAGGAGCCTTTGCCAGGAGATGTGGACTAGAGCCTGCTCCCCATCAGCCATACTGATCTTCAAGGGTGGAGGGAGCCAGGGATGAGGCAGGAGCAGCTCCTTGTCAGGAGCCGACAGTCTGGGAAAGATGGTGCACTCAAGAGTTGGGTTTGCTCTTATAGGGGCTCAGGGGCAACCCCTACTGGTGAAGTGTGGTATTACACATCATGTATATTGCCAGTAGGAGGAAAGACGAGGTGATCAATTTCCCGTGGCTACATTGTGAAGCCAAGCATTCCCCAAGCACAAGTGATATCCCTATGGTCAAAAGAAGACTGGAGAGAGACGGGGGCAGAGAAATCCAAAGAGTTGAGAAAGCTCTACAAAGCTTGCCCTCCCATCCATCCTGTTAGAGTGATGGTCAGTGGCCACACGTCACAGAACTGCCTGGCGTTGTTCCTTCTCCTTCCATTAAACGGGTCCCGTTCAGATCGCATCTGCCGTTCTGTGTGGACAGGGATCTGGTTTTATCACATGGATAAAAAATAGTGGATAAGGAGATAGAAATTCCGGAAATAAATTCACTTTATGGTCAACTCACAGGAATACAGCTGTCCTATAAATGAAGCATATGCCTTCCCATCCTTGACTTGCTCATTCATACATTACTTGATATCTGGTTGCAGATGTGGGTTTTTGTTTTTTTTTGTTTTTTTGGCTCCCCCTTCTAAATTTTACCTACAAAAGAATTCAGCGTCTCTAGATCTTCCAGGAACAGAACAGTGTAGCCATTTCTTAATATACACCTGTTTAAAGAAAGTTCCTGGTCCGTTTCTCCCACACGTAATTCCCCAGAGCGCTGATTCATTCCACAGTCACCAGGTCTCACTATGCTGTAGTGGTGATGGGACCGACACATTCTTTCTCCTCCTGGAGCTTACTACGTCCAGGGGAGGGGCAGACACACGGTAAGCCAGGAAATGGATCAGCAAGAGAGAGTGAGAGCTTGATACATGCTATGAAAAAAAAATTAGACAATGATATAGTGTCTGGGGGTGGGGCAGGCAAGGCGTAATCTAGACAAGATGTAAGGAAGGTCTCACTGAGAAGGTAGCAACCACCCAAGTGAGGAAAAGCTCCAGCCATGCAGGGGTCTGGGGCAAAAGCATTCCAAGTGGGGAGTGTGGGAGCTGAGGCTCTTAATGGAAATGTGCTTGGTGTGTTGAGGTGACAGGAAGAAGAGCAAGGTGACTGAGGCGGTGGGACAAAGGAAGAAGTATCAGAGATAAAAATCAGATTGCATGGAGTCATTCTCCGTGGTGAAAAGTGTGGGTGTCCCTCCACGTGCAGTGAATAGAACACCACTGGAGGTTTTAGACAGAGACAAGACCTGATCTGTGGGGTTTTTTTCTTGTGATTTGTACACTGTTTTATTTTTTCTCAATTCTTAATTGAAACATCTTAGTTTTTTAAACTTTTGATTCTGAGATCATTATAGATTCACATGCAGTTGTAAGAAAAACTGTAGCCTTTACTCAGTTTCCCCTATTGGCAGTACCTTACTAGACTATGGTAAAATATCACAACCACCATATTGATGTGATACAGTCAATGTGCAGAAAATTTCCATCACCCACAGGATTCCCTCATGTTGCACTCTCCTAGCCAAACCCATTTCCCTTCTGCCGCCACCCCACTCTTACCCCCTGGTAACCACTAATCTGTTCTCCATTTCTCTAATTTTATTTCAAGAATGTAATTTCAGGGGCTCCTGGGTGACGCAGTCAGTTAAGCATCCGACTCTTGGTTTTGGATCAGGTCGTAATCTCAGTGTCGTGAGATCGAGCCCCACATCTGGCTCCACACCCAGCATGGAGTCTGCTTGAGATTCTCTCTCCCTCTCCCTGTGCTCCCCCTGGTCATGCACTCTCTCTCTCTTAAATAAATAAATAAATAAATAAATAAATAAATGTTTTTTTTAAATAGAATGTAATTTCAGTGGGATCATATGGTATATGACTTTTTAGAATTGGATTTTCTCACTCAACATAATTCTCTGAAGAGTTATCAGGTTGTTGGATGTATTCATAGTTTGTTTCTTTTCATTGCTGAGCAGTATTCCATAGCACGGACCTACCATGGTTTGTATACCCACCTACCCACTAAAGGGCAGCTGAATTGTTTCCAGCTTCAAGCTATTACAAATACAGCTGTTCTAAACATTCAT